GGCGGCGATCTGCGGCAGCTTGAGCGCCGCGCACACGCCCAGCGTCGTCCAGTTGCAGAACCACAGCAGCTCCGTAGCCATGGCGCCGGCGGCTCAGGGCTGGGGGCTCGGCGGATCCGGCTGCAGCGCGGGGAACAGCCACTCAGCACTCGGCAACCGAGCTGCCGAAGAATGAATCATTGTTTGCCACCAAGGGAGGAAACCTGTCTACCACACAGCAGCCTGGCTAGTCCCAAGAATGTGCAAATGAATATCAAGCAAAAAAGAAAGGTTTGTGCAGGGGTTATAGCTCCATTCTTGAGTGAGACAACCCTAGCTGGAAAATCTTGGAGAAATACTCAATATGAACAATCCACCTATCAAACAGGTATAGAAGTATGAGAACGAAATGGACTGATAACAAGTGCCTGAGACATAGCAAGGCTCAATAAATGATAGTTATTATTAGAGAAGCTTACACCCGGTGCCGCCTGCCGCCGGGACCCTCCCGGGGGCTGCCTTGCCTTGCGCGGGCTATACCCGCTGTTGATTCCCTTTTCAGTGTAAAGCCCACCGCGCAGTCGCGAGCCGCGGTGAGACCCCTAGACGGTCCCGCTTCCCCTCGGGTTGGGTGGGCAGAGACTGAACCCCGGGAGGGCAAACGGGCACCCCTCCCACGAGATTTCTCACTCCCTAAAAGTGTTTTTCTTTCTTTTTCTCACCACGCATTTCAGAGATTAAGACGGGTAAGAAGGACCTTAACGGCCCACCCTAGTTATGCGCGTCCGGCTCGCCGCGCAGATGGGGAAACGGGTCGGAGGAGGCTGGAGGAGGCTGGAAGACCCGCCGCGGCCCCGGGGCCAGAACCTCCGGGTGGCTCGTTTCCTGCCCTTCCCCGCGGCTGACAGGGGGAGAGCCTCAAGCCCGGGACGCGCCCTCATGGGGGCTTGGGCCTTAGCCCGAAGGCCCACCCGCCAAGCCTGCATTTCAGCACTTCAGAGGGAACGGTGTTGAGGTAAAATCGATTTCTATTAATAAAAGAGGGTAACACGTGGCACAAGATGAGGGAGTGGGATGCATTTTTACAAGCTCTCAAAATCGCATAGGTTTTGAGCCCGATTATGAAGCAGAAAAAGCCACGAACATACAATGCGAGAATCCACGATCTCTGGTTTTGCGCTCCGAACCTCAGCGGGCCTTAGAGGCTTCTCCTCTCTAGGCCCCATCCTTCCTCTCCACTCCTCTAGCCCTCACCTGGCCGTCATCTCCTTCCTGGGGTGGGGGACCAGAAGGTTTGAGTCCCCATCTGGGGCTAAAGGAGAACAGGATGTTTAGAGGGAAACCTTTAAGAGGAAAACAAAGATAGTGCATGTGTGTGTGTGTGTTTAGCCCTTCCCTTTTTAGAGATCCTGAAATATTTACAGGTGAAATACTGCGATGTCTGGAATTAGCCTTAAAATATTGGGGGTTTGGGTGGGAGGGTAGAGATATCAATGAAACATGATTAGGTGTGAGCTGACAAATTTTGAGGTCGTTATGGTACTAATATGGGGGGATTATTATACTACACAATCTACTTTTCTATAGGTTTGACATGTCCCGTATTAAAAAATTTTAAGGCAAAGAGGAAGATGGGCATGAAGTGCTGTTGCCCTCATTCTAAGGTGAGGTTCTGAGCTCCGGAGAGGTGGCGCAGCTTGCCTCATGTCACACGGCCAGCATCTGGTCTTCCTAGGTGGTCTTCCATCCAGGTAATAACAGGTCTGACCCTGCTCAGCTTCTGCAATCAGTCGAGATCGGGTTTGCTCAGGGTGGCATGGCCATAGACCAGATCTGTCACTTCTGAGGTATGTGACTTTAGACAATTCACTGGACCTCTCAGCGCACCTATATTCGCCTCTGTAAGGGGGACACATCAAAAGCTGCCGGCGCACACAGAACATAGGCTCTCAGGGATCAGCATCACCTGCTATTTGTCATGGCAGTTTCCTTACTGGGCCTTGTCCTGACTTGCCCAGCACTCCCAGCTTCCCCTGGAACCGGCCATTTGCCTAAGGAGCAGCTTGTTCTTTTAATGACTACAGAATGGTGTTTAGAAGCAAAGACCTAGGACTATCTGCTTCCTGTTCTTGCAGAATCATTGCTCCTGGCCTCTTGGGAGACAGAGCAGGCTATGGTGTGTGTCTGTGTGTGTGTCTGTGTGTGTGGTATTAGCCAGCTCAGGCCACCTTAACAAAATACCACAGACTGTGGCTTAAAAACAAAAAACTGATTTCCTCACAGGCCCGGAGGCGGAAGCCCACAGTGCCAGCAGCTGCTTCCTGGTGAGACCTCTCTCCTTGACTTGCAGATGGCCACTTTCCTCAGGTGACTTTTTCTCTGTGCTCACATCCTTGGTATCTCTCTACATATAAGGACACTCATCCTATTGAATTATGGCTCCACTCTTGTGATTTCATTTAACCTTAATTACTCCTTTAAAGGCTTTGTCTCCAAATACAGTCACACTGGTGGTTAGGACTCCAACATGTGAATTTTGGGGGGACACACACACACACTGTATATACTCACATACATTATATCTAATGTATCTCTCTCTCACACACACACACTGTGTATACTCATGTACATTATATATAATGTATAATGCACACACACACACAGAACCAGAATCTTCCTTTTAGTGAAACCCCCAGATCTGTGTGCACGCCAAGTTGGGAAGCATGACTACCCTCCTTATGAGACCCCTTCAGCGGTATCGAGTCTCTTGGCGTAGTGGACCACAGAGAGTTTGAAATGCAGCTAATGTTCAGAGACAGCCTGGCTAAGTGCTGGCATGTCGTCTTGACAGGTGGCAGCACTGAAGATCCTGTTGCATCATCTTATAAAAATGGAAAGACCTCAAGAGCAGGCCACCTCACATTCACCGCAGCCCTTGGGGACATAAGAGTCAACACCACTCTTTGGGTCACAGATGTGCATGCTTGGGAGCGAGCTTGCTATGGTAAATTCAAAATGTGTCCTGGGTGAGCCACCCCCAGGAGACATGGTCCTAGGAGGCAATAGAATGTTCTGGAACTTTGAGGGGTCAGAAAGGTCTCTAGCGAGATGAGTGTATTGGGGAGGGTTGGTTACAGACAGCAGAATCCTCCTCTTTGGTTGGCTTAATTATTCTTATGTCTTCACCGAAGGACGAGGAAGCAGATTTGAAGAAGCATCTCTAAGGAACAACTTTCAAAAACTCACTGAACAGTTGCCCTGGGAGGGAGCTGCTGCTGTCACCACCACTGTCGCCATCACCAGGAAAGCCACCCATTCAGGAGCTGCCACCACCTCTGCCCAGTGTTCTTGAAGCTGGGGACTGACACAGCACCCAGGCCCAGCTGTCACATGAGGTCTCAATACTGCATCTCTCTGCATCCAGAGGATCCTGGGGTTGCACCTTCTGCCTTCTGAGTCTCCTGGGGGTGCCTCTGCCCAGCAGGAGGTAGGTTCCACGAGAAGCCTGACCACCAGGGTGTCTACCACACCTGGCCTCATTGTCAGCTGACTGTCACAGCCAATGGGGCACAGCGACCACTGGGCCATGCCATCAGGACCTGGGATGCTTTGGACAGAAGCTGTGGCTTTTGTTATTCTTTACTGGATGGTAGGGAGTGGTGGGAAATAGGGAAGTAAGAAAATCCAGTCTAAATTGTCATTCTGATGTGTTTGGGTGTCAGCACTGGAGGCGGAGGGCCCAGGCCACACAGGAGCAGTGGGAGTTTGCTCTGAAGTCTCCGCTCAGCCCTGGTTCCCCATCTGGCTTTTCTCGTTGCTCCAGGGGCTCTGTCACTCAGACCAGACAGCAGGCCTCCCAGTACTCAGGAGAGGGCCCGGGACACGGGCTGGGGAGGAGAGGGTGTCTGAGTCCCAGGGCTAAGGGCTGGCACTGAGGGCCAAGGCTGCAGGGAGTCTGGCAAAGACTGCAGGTGAGCCAGCTGTATCTCTGATGGTCTCAGGGCAAAGTGCTCCTGCCCTCCACGGCCTCTCTCCCTACCTCTTCCAGCTTACAATGCTCTACTGCTGCCGCGGACACAAGGAGTCAGCCGTACTTGGCCGTAGACCTTTGTTCATGAGTTGTAGACTCTCTCCTACAGCATCTGAAGGGAGAGAGTAGGAAGGACGAGTGTGCCAGCATCGGACAGGGAGGGGAAGACATCTCTGAAGAGAAGGATGCAGCCAGGAGGATGCCGGGAACACGGGGGAGGAGCACTTCTGCTTCTTGGGTATGTCAAGGTGCCATTTCCGGTTTATTTGTAAAGGGAATCTAGACGGATGACTGTCCCCCAGGGATTCAGTGAACTCAGCTGATTCTCAGGTACTCTGATTCTGGTGCGAGCCGCCCCAGCCTTCACACACGCCATGAGCATCACAGTGGCCTCCACCCTGGTCAGATTGCTGCTCATGGGAAAAGCAAACTAGAGAAGTAGTGACAAGCAGCAGTGGCAGCTACAGAAGCATCTGGAATCTGCAGCGCCTGCAGTGCACAGGCGGTTTACTTTGATTCTGTCATTCTGCTTCTCCGTTGCAGCAGGGAGGCTGTCCCCATTTCCAGGTGGTCCTGGTTGTCAATTCCTGGCCTGGCCATGTGGCGCTGGTTCCCTCTTCTTCCTGCCTGTCTCCCGCTCTGTTTATCCTAGGAGTGGCCAGGACCTGGGCCCTCCCGTTCTGGGGCCCTCCTTAGTCCCAGCCAAGGACAGCAGCTGAGTAGACGTATGGGAAGAGGATTTCTAGCTGGCTGGAAGCCTCTTCCTGTACTGAAGTCCAGAGCCGGGAATGTGGCTGATGCAGAGATGCGGGAGTCGGTGGCACGCGAACCGCCCCGGTCCTGTCCGCATTGGCCCTTACAGGCTGCGTGACCTCAGGCAAGCCCTTCATGTCCCTAGGCCGAGGTTTCCTCATTCTAAAACCAGGATAATCACACCCATCGCATAAGGTTATGGAGAGGTGCATAGCAGGTGCTCAGTGTGGGGTCGATTCCTACCAGGTGCAAACTAGCAAAACGTCGTTGGGAACCTGTGGGCACGGGATGGGGGTGATGGGTGGGGGACGGTTGCTCTAGGTGCGGCCAGGCATGGGCCCTGCAGGAAAGGGTGCATTCTCAGCCCGCACGTCTATCTTGGGGGCTCCTCTGTGTGGGCAGTGCCAGGCGGAGGGATCTGCAGAGCGCACCCACTGCAAATCTCTCGGGCCCATAACAGGCATCTCTGTCTGGAAGAACTCTGCCCGCTTCCTGTCTACACGGTTACATGGGACACGGCCTGTCACAAGAGCCTGCTCTACTCAGGTCATGTGAGGAGAGCAGGCAGCTGCCTGGCTGAAGCTGGCCACACACTGCCTTCTGGGCGACTTGGACTTGAACATTGACTGGTTCCATCACCGCCCTGGCTCTTAAAACAGGGAGCCGCCAACTTAGAGGCACTGGTCGCGGCCCTTCCCCTTGCCACCTCCCCCACCCCCATTTTCCTGGGATATTCCCAGACCTATGGGAAGGTTGCAAAAACAGCACAAGGGACACCCCCAGACCCTCTTTATTTAAGTCTGTCCGCTGTTAACATTTTCACCCACATTTGCTTTATCTGTCTCTATTTACATGGCACATACATTTTTTATTATTGACAAACCATTTGCAAGTATTAGTTACGGGCATCATGACCCGCTACCCCCCAACACTTCAACATAGACCTCTCAAGAACAAGGGCATTATTCTGCATCACATTGATGTAATTGTCACCCTCTGAAAATTGAACATCGATATATTGTTATTATCTAATGCCTCGTTCATATTGTCTGCTATTTAGTCCATTATCCAATATTTAGTCTGCAAAGTCTGTTTTAGAGCTGCTTTTGCTCTGACATGGGAGCTGGTATCCCCGCCCCCACCCCTTGCTCCGCATGGCCTTGAACCTGGATCATGTCCTCAGCCCTCCTTTGTCTTTTCCGACACTGACATTTTGGAGAATCGAGGCCGGCTCTTTGGCAGAATGTCCCTCGGTGCAGGAGTGCCTGGTGTTTCTCCACGGTCACGCTCAGGTTATGCGAGGCGGGCAGGAGTGCTCCTCCCCAGGTCCCCTGAGGAGGCTCATGATGTCAGCTGTCCCAGTGCTGGTGAGGTCATGTTTAATAAGAATATGGTTAAGGAGATATCTTTCACTCAGTGCTTTTATTGATTCTTGCCTGAACCAGTTAGTTATAAAACGACGATTTTCTGTTTTTATCATTTACTTTGTATTCTTCAGTAGAGAAGAGTGTTTCTTCCTCTACTTAAAAATTTAAACAAATATCAGTCTGAACTCATGGATTCTTTACTGTTAGTAATATTCTTTGACGGCACCTGTGGGCACTGGCTTTGCTTCTGAAGCTGTGGGTGGTGGGTTGCCCTAGGTAGAGTCATATTTGAGCATCATCCGGATGCTCAAATCATGTCTCCGTTCTGTTTTGAACCCATCCTCACTTCCTGGCACAGGAAGAAGCTCCGGGCTCACCTCGTACATTCCTTGGGTAGTGGTTATGTTTTACCGCATGGAAGCAAAGATGCTGGTTCTGCCAGTGACGAGAATGAGGTAGAGGTGCTCCGAGGAGCAGCGATAAAAAGTGAGGAAAGCATCTTTCGGGCTTTGCTACGGCTCATCAGCCCCGATTACAGTCCAGGCGCCCTGTCTCCTTGCAAAAGCCCTTTGCCTTTGCTGTGCTGATCGGCGGGCTTGGTGCCCACTTCTTCTCCTAGTTCCGGCCCCAGCGAGGCAGGAGGCTGGTTGCGGGCTCTGGCGCAGGCGTCCTCAGTCCTGATTTCCTTGCCTCCCAGTGGGTGACGTGGCCACCGCATGGGAAGGTTAGAAGCAGACATCCTCTTGAAATGAAGGCGGATGTGGCAGGGAGCGGAGGGAATGGCGGGCTGGTTGCGGAGGGCTCTTCGATGAGGCTGCTGCTTGCAGGGGAGAGTGGCCAGACAGGGGGGCTGCAGCCCGCAGGAAGAGGCTGTGCCCCAGGGCTCTCTGCCCAGACTAGTCTGTTTGCTGCTCCTCTGCCCAGAGCCCTTCCGGGCCCGGTCTGCCCGCCCAGTGGAGATACCTCTCCTTCTCTCTGGCTTTTCCTTGAGGACTAGTCCTTCTGTAGAAGGACTTCCTCCCTGAGCCTCCTCGCTGGGAGGTCTGTCTTTTCAATCCCCACAGACAGGCATCAGTCTATACCTCGTGTCTAAGCTCCCACAGGCTGAGGGCTCTGAGTCGCCAGCTCTGGGGTGGGGTCTGGTACAAGGTGGAGCAGGTGCCAGGCTCTAAAAGGCTTGTCCAGGCCCGAGTCTGGAGCCCCTTCAGTCGAAGGACTGCATCTGCACACAGCTGGAGACCCAGGGCTCTATTTCAGGTGGCGCTTCAAGCATTTTGCAGAAAACTGGTGTCCAAAGCTACTTGTGGAATTGGTCAGATCCTCTGCTTTTTGGTTGGGATCACTACTCAGCCAATATTTGCCCTGTGACCCTAGCACAGTGGGAATAGCATGCTTTCTTGTCCCTAGTGAGGCTGGACTTGACCATGGGACTTATTTGGCTGATACAAGGTTGGCAGATGTGCACGCAGAAGCCTTCAACATGCTTGCACGGCTTGGTTTGGCCCCGGGGTGTGGTGATGTGCCATGAGAACGTGCCGCAGGAAGCTCTCGGTCTAAGAGAAGAAAAGACACGTGGACGGACTTGGGCTCAACCCGAGGCTTGGAGCCAAGTCCAGCTGGGCCAGCCAAGATCAGCCGACCCTGAGCTCCATGCAGACCTGTGAGTAAGAAATGGGGTGATGGGTCACATTGCAGGATGTAGCCACCTGCCGCATCCCAAAACTGCATGACTCAGTGCCCATTGCACGCTCAGAGAATAGCATGCGAAGCTGGTGACATCCTTGGACTCTGTCTCCCCTCCCCGACTCTACGGCTGTGGAGACAGGCCCAGGGAGGAGCACGTGGCACGGTGAGTCAGGCGTGGGATGGGATCCTGGACGTGGAATGAATCCAGACCCCAGGTTCCCGGGGGGCGCTGACACCGCCCTGCTCAGCTCCAGCCTAGCCCTGCCCTCCCTGACCATCACACGGGTAATGACGGAGGTGGACAGAGAGAGAGATTTGGAAGTGCTACGAAGCCGCCTTGAAGATGCAGGGGGCTGAGGGCCACGGGAAGTGGGCAGCCTCTAGAAGCTGGAAAAAGTGAGGAAACAGATTCCTCGAGGCTTCGGAAAGGAACGCAGCCCGACGACACCTCGACGTTCGCCCCGCGGAACACATTTTGGATCTGTGGCCTCCAGAACCGTAAGGAGACACATATGTGTCGTTTTAAGCCACTCGGTCTGTGGCCGTTTGTAGGAGCAGCTGCAGGGAGCGGGAATGGAGGCACAGAGGGTCCAACCAGCTGCTCAAGGGGCCGCAGCTGCTAAAAGTCGGGGGCGGGATTCGAACCCAGGGCGTCAGCGTTCCTGACCATGGCGCAGGCTCCCTCCACGGGCCCCTGAGAGGGAGTCCCCACCCCTGCCACTCAAATTCCTTAAGCCCTCTTAATCGCATGGGTGAAAACGAGCCAATGGCGCCCTTGTAGAGTTGGTGTGGGGCTCGGGGAGGCCAAACCCCTGACCGACAGGTGTGGGACGCTGGCGGGAGCCCGGGGCCAGGCCGGCTGCTCCCGCCCCCACGCTCACCCGCCTGGGGCAGCCCGGGAGCCCTTCTCCTAGACGGCTGCAGCTCATCTGCCAGCTTCTTCTCCCGGGCTCCTTCCACGAAGAGGGAGTCCAGGCCGATGAGGGTTTTCCCCAGGGCCGTGTCCACCCTGCTGCCCACGACCCGGTTCGTGGAACTGGGGGCACGTGCTCCGGCAGCTCCTCCGGCTCCTTTTGATTGCCCTGAGGAGAGGGTACAGTTCACGTCACACGCGGTGCGGGAAACCCCTAACATGCTGCTTCGCACGTGGTGGCAGAGCCACAGGTTTGGCCGGGTTTTCCGGTGAATTTTTACTTGAAGTCTAACGTACGGAAAAGCCCACAAATCACAACTACAGCTCCACGGACTCCCACAAAGTGAACGAGCCTGCGGAGCCCCTCCTGATCTGGACACAGAACACGATCAGCCCCCAGACGCCTCCTTTTAACCCCCCAGCCACCGTCTTCGCCCCCAAGGTCCCCTGGTCTGGACCGCCAACACCGTGGGTTGCTTTGGCCTGGTTTTGAACTTTGTCTCAGTGCAATCCCGTCTCCTCTGCCTGGCTTCTTCTCCCAGGAACATTTGCGAGATTCGGCCATGTTTCCGCTGTGTTGCTGATCGTTCACCCTCCTTGCATAGGGCATTGCGTTGTGCAGCTTCTGTGTTATTCATCTAGTCTGCCACGGGTGGCACTCGGGCCGTGCGTGGCTTGGGGTGTCACGAGGAGTGCCGGTGTGAACAGCCGTGTATGTGCGTGCCGGTGACTTCCATGACCGAGGGGCGAATCAGTGAGTGAATGTAGGGATTCGGAGTGATCGGATGAGTGAGGCAAAATCCCCAGCCCTCCCCACCCCCGTTCACGGCTAACCTCGTGCTCGCTCGCACTGAATAGAAGCGACAGGACCAGTTATGTAATGAGTCCTGCCTCTCTCCTGGGAAAATCCGCACCCAGGAGGCCCCACTGCTGGGCGTGATGCAGGTTTCAGCGGTCAGGTGGCTAGACAGCCCTTGGCAGGGAGAGACTCTGGAGGCGGGAAGCCCGGACCTGGAGCTCAGTGTAGGATTTCAGGTCCCATGAACTAAGTTTTCTGTCCCGGGACAGATAGCAATCCAGCAAGGCCAGCGAGCGGACACGGAGCCCTCCCGAGACCTCACAAGCTTCGCGTCAGCGTGGCCGCCCCCGCCTTGGTTGACTTGCTACCTTGCTTATTTTCCAGGCGGTTCTCTGACCATCCTTCCTATGGCCAGATTCATTGTCCCACAAACCGAGCGGTATTTTACTGGGTGCTGGGGGTGGGGGATGGGGATGAAGTCATCTCGGTCCTTCCCCATAGGGAGCCCACGGCGTGGCGAAAGCGCTCATCACAACGCGGCGTGTCATAGCAAGAGACGTGCCACGCGCTGGTGAGTCAAGCACAGAAGCACAGAGCGGGCTCATCGGGGAAGGGGATATTTCCCAGGAAAGGAGGCCCTCGAGGGGGGTCTCGAAGGGTAAATAAGCGTCCATCAGGCTGAGGAGGTGAGAAGGGCGTTTCAGGCCGGGGGGACAGCATGACAAAGTCATGAGTAAGAGAGTGCGGGTTGGTGGGTGTGGGGCGAGCGAGGGAGGCAAGGTTAGATCTCGGGGAGCGTGGTAAGCCACCCTGAAAAATGCAGATTTGTTGAAGGATTTTAAGCCGGGGAGACATATGGTCAGTTTTGCGATTTAGGAAGATTACTCAAGTAGAATAGATCAGAGGCAGGAATTAGTTTACAAAGTATTTCACGTAAACTCAGGCTCCACACGGGGCACAACACACATCATCACACACGGCTGACATCCTCGTGCTGGGGAATAAAGTTCAGCATCAAATGCCCCTCATTTCCAGTCGGTTCCTCTTAAAAATTCAAGCGGTGCCGGGAAAAATTAATTTCTAAACGCTCCGCGGAAGTGTTTTCTTTCCCGCCAGACTCCACGTTTCTTAGGGCAGCGCTGTATCTTCTCCGTCTCTGTGTGTCCCGGCCCCTAGCGCACAGTAGGTCCCCAGCGAATGAGCACACGCGCCAAGGGCGAGCGCGTCTGCCAGGAACGCGCTCTGGCTCACCATGTGGCCGCGGTCTTTCCGGAAGCTCCAGGCCCGAGCCCCCCAAAGGAAGACACGGTGGCAGTGTGAGTTCTTCCTGGCGTCCTCACAAACGACTTTCGGGGGTCAAGTCAGTATGCCGATGCGCCCCACGTGATGGTCCCGTCGTGGAGCAAGTGAGATGCTTTTGAAGCGAAGCGGATGCCATGCGGTGAGTCTTACAGAGGGAACGGAGGCTTCCTAGAGCGGAGACTGTGCTGAGAGGTCGGGGTCGCAGGGAAAGCAGCGAGGCGCCCTCCCCCGAGCCCCTGCCTCGTCGCAGGCCACCGAGGGGGCCCCGAGCACTTCGTGAGGAAGAGCCGGTTGTCGCTCGCCCAGACGTTTGCAGCCTTTCGGCATGTGTGGCAGAGGAAGCTGGGAGGTTTGGGAAAAATAGGGAATGGCAGAGGAAGACCGTTGCTGCTAACGGCACTGGCAACTCGATTTTTATTTCGATCTGCTTATTAAAAACCAAACAATTCTGTAAGACTCTTAACAAAAATAGCCTTTTCTGCCCCGATCCTCACAGCCCCTAGAGACAGTTTCCAGGCTTTCAGCTGTTTTCCTGCTTGCTTTTGGCTGCCTTGTCCCGAGACAGACGGCAACGTGAGGCCGGGACCAGGCCTGTCTCGTCCCCACGGCAGCCCGACCGAGCGGCTCTCCTAGGGGATTCCGGGTTGAATGAACGCATGGAGAGTCGTCCTCTCTCTGGGTCAGACTGGGATATCTTTCCCCAGACTGCAGTCCCAGCCTCCTGTCGCCCACCCCCTGCCCCGCTGTCTCTCCTGCCTTCAGCTGGACGGGATCTGGAAGGAACCAGGCAGGCCCGCGCTGGCCTTCCCTGGCCTTCCCTGGCCTTCCCCGGCCTTCCCCGGCCTTCCCCGGCCTTCCCTGGCCTTTGCCCACCTCTCCCTGTCACTCTCTGGCTTTCCCGCCTCCTCCTTGGCCCTGGCCCTTTCCCACCAATGCCCTTTGCCTGGCTTCCCTCTCGCCCTCAGGTCTCTTTCTCCAGAAGCTTCCTAGACCCTGAGTCAGGCTGGGGGTCAGAGGGCAGGGCACTCACCAGCGCTGCTGGCTCCGCTGCTTGGCTTCCAGGCGCTCCCTCCACAGCTGGTCCTGCTGCACCCCCCCACTCAC